TTCCTTTGTGACCATTACATCCCCTCCTTGGTCCCAGGTAACCACTCCTCTGGTTTCTTTCAGTATGGTTAGATCTTTCTCCCCCTAGAGTTTCATACATATTATATAGTATGTACTCATTAGCGTTTGGCTTTCCTCACTCAGCATAGTATTCTTTAGGCTCATTCATGTTGTTGCATCTATCTCTAGTTTATTTGTGTTAATTTCAGAGTAGCATTGCACTGCATTGATATAATTTTTTTTATCCATTCACCTATTAATGGACATCTGGACTGTTTCCAACGTTCAACTATTATGAATAAAGCTGCTGGGAAGATTTACATGTAAGTCTTTGTATGAGCATATATTTTCATTTTTCTTAGTAAACCTAGGGATGGAACTACATGATTATATTATAAGCATATGTTTAACTATAGGAGACTGCCAGTTTTCTATACCATTTAACATTCCCATTAGATGTATGAGTTTCAGTCAGCATGAACCTTTGACTTATGAAAATTAAATATTATTTGGTACCTTTACACATTTCCCTGAAAATGAAAGTCCTTAAAACATTTTATCTCCATCTCAACTTATATACACTACATTATGGTCTAGTCTTTTACTCTAAATATATTGTATGCCCAATAAGCTACTGTTATTATTTTATACATTCAATAGTCATTTAACATGCCCCATATATTTATTATTTTCACTTTTAAAATGCATCTTAATCCTTCCTTCTGGGATAATTTTCCTTTTGCTTGAAGAACTCCCTTTAGTGAGGGTTTGATGAAAATGAATTTTAGTGTTTTTTTTTTTTTTTTTGTCTGAAAGGGTCTTTACTGTTTCTGTTGACATCAGAGTAGTCTATTTATTATTACTTTAAAGACAATACATTTTTTTCTAGGATAATTTAAAGATTTTTCTCTTTGTTTTTTATTTGTTTCTTTCCAAAAATTTCACTGTAATGTATCTCTATCTTGTCTTTTAATTTATCCAAATTGGGTTCATAGAGCTTTTTGTAATTGTGCCTTTTTGTCCTTTATCAGGCTTGGACAGGAATCAGCCACTGTCTCTTCAAAAATTGCTTCTATAGCATTCTCTCAGTTTTCTTCTAGGATTCGAATTACTTCTGTGTTAGACCTTTTCAATAAATCATATATTGTTTCTCTTCTGCGTTTTATACATTTTTGTCTTTCTGGGCCTCATTCTAACTATTTTCTTTCAGTTCATGGGTTTTCCCTTCAATTGTATCTAAACCACTGAGTCTTTATCTATATATTCAAGTTTTAGAATTTCCAGTGTGCTTGCTCTCTCATGTGCTCTTTTTCTCTACACAAATACACTGTCTATATGATAGAATTATCATGTTAGTTTCACCTACTTAAACATGTTCATCATAGCAATATCTGGAGTTTTAGTAGGTCAGTATTTTTTAATTAGGTTATAAATTATATACAATAAAAATAGTTTGGTTGTACATTTCAAATTGCTTGGGCAAATGTACACAGTTGTATAACTACTACCTCAATGAAGATATAGAATATTCTACCAAACCAACAAGTGCCCAAGTGCCCTTGTACCCATTTTCAGTCAATCCATCACCCCAGAGGAAAGCACTGCTTTGGTTTCTAACACTGTAACTTAGTTTTGCCTGTCTTAGAATTCCATATAAATGAAATCATATATTATGTACTATTTTGGGTCTGGCTTCTTAGTTTGACATTATTTTTGAGATTCACTTATATTGTTATGTGACTCAGAGTTGTCAATGCACTGTATGAATATCTGATTGAACATGCCACAATATAAACACCCATTCACTTGTTGATATACATCTGGATATTTTCCAATTTGGGATTTTATGAATAAAGTTATTATGACCATTCTTGTATAAGTCTTTTATATATGTATAAGCCTTTTATATATATTTTCATTTCACTTGGGTATGAAGTGAAATACCTAGATTTTTTGGATAAATGTATTAATTTTCTAAGAAATAGCCGAACCGTTTTTCCTAAGTGGTTGTACCATTTTAAATCCTCACCAGTAGTGTATGGGAATTCCAATTTCTCCTCAACCTCACAAATATTTGGAATTGTCAGTCTTTTTCATTTTAGCCATTCTAGTGTTTATAAAGTGATATCTCCATGTAGTTTTAATTTGTATTTTCCTGATATAAAATGATGCTAAATATCTTTTCATGTTCTTATGGGGCATTTACATATATTCTCAGTAAATGTCTATTCATGTATTTTTCCAATTTTTAAAGTTAGATTCTTTGTATTTTTATCATTGAATTTAAGGATCTCTTTATATTTTTCAAACAGATGCCTTGTTGATCTGTATATATATAAAATATATTCTTCCAGTCTATGGCTTGCTTTTTAATTCTCTTAATGTTATTCTTCGATGAGTGGTAATTTTTAATTTTGATTAGTCAAGTTTATTTTTTTATTCTTCACTTAATTTTTTGTATACTAAGAAATTTCCACCTTCCAAAGGTTACAAAGACATTGTCCTATATTTAGTTCTAAGAGCATGACATTTTTAGCTTCTATATTTAAGCCTATGATCAATCTCAAATTAATTCTCTGCGATGCCATCTCTGTCATAAATCAAGTTTTCATATATGTGGGTCTATTTTTATTTCTCTGTAGTGTTTTTCTTTCCCTTATGCCTATAACACACACTCTTAATTTCTATAGCTTTTTAATTATTTTTGACATCTTGTGGGGCAAGTCTCTTCACTTCGTTTTTTTTAAAAAGACTTATTTATTTATTTTAGAGCAAGAGAGCACACACAAGGTGGGGAGAGGGAGAGAATCTCCAGCAGACTCCCTATTGAGTGTGGAGCCCAACACAGGGCTCGATCTCACGACCCTGAGCCAAAATCAAGAGTCAGACCCTTACCCAACTGAGCCACCCAGGCACCCCCACTTTGTTCTTATTTAGGAGGATATTGCCTATTCTTGGCTCTTTGTTCTTTTATAAATATTCTGCAATCACTTTTTAAATTAACGTTTTATGTTGAAGGTTCTTATATCAATGCAGTAAGTATAACTATGAACTCTAAACTCAAGTGAGACCAAGTTTAAATTAAAAAATAAATTCTTAACAAATCCTATATTTTACACAGAACCCAGGCCAAAACAGACATTATTCCTTATTGTCTCCCTGCACTGATTACTGTAGTTTTTTAGTGCTCTTTCTAGGGCATAACCCTTCAATGGTATTGGATTTATGGGATGAATCCTTGTATTCATTTCCTATGGTTTATGTAAAAAATTACCACAAATTTAGTGACTTAAAACAACAGAAATATCTTTTCTTACACTTTTTGAAGGCCAGAAGTCTGGCAGTTTTATGGGCCCCTTCCTCTTCTTTCAAAGCCAACAGTATAACATCTTCAAATCTCTCCAGCTTCCTTCATCAGACTGCCTTTTGCTCTGTAGTCAAATATCTTTCTGCCTCCCTCTTATAAAGACACTCGTGATTATATTTAGGGCCCAACCAGATAATCCAGGATAATCTCTCCATCTCAAGATCCTTAATTTAGTGCACATCTGCAATGTCCGTTTTGCCATATAGGGTAACATTCACGGGTTCCAGAGATTAGGACATGGATATATTTGGGGGCCATTATTTAGTCTACCACAGCCCTAGTTCTTTCTAATCCTAAACTTCACTCAGGCTCAAAGCCTTTCTTATGTAACCTTAAAACTCAAAATCTTATTTACCAAAACTAGTAGTCCATTTTCCACCTATAACAGTATCAGTTCATGTGATTAACACTCTAATTTTTAGTTCCCTCTTCCATTTGGGCCCCTGAGTATTTCCTTTAATTTATCAGCTCAGATATTTAAAAAGAATGTTTTCTATGTTTTATCTAGCTTTTCTAGGAGTTTGTAGAAGACTTTTCAGAGTATGTAGTTTGTTATATTTCTAAAAATTGTTGACTCATACATAGATTCTGTTCCCTCTACTTCACTAGAACTGTTCAAGATCACTAACAACCAAGCATATCACCATACTCAACAATTTCTATCTGCATCTTACCTAAAAACACAGAATTTACACCAAATGATTATTCCCTACTTCTTGAAACATTCTCTTCTTGACTTCCATGATATCACACCCTTCTAGTTTTTGTGGGTTTTTTTTCTTCTTTTCTTTTTTCCCTCTTTACAGGTTACTCTTGTTCTCTATGCTGTGGTCTCTTCTATCTGACCTAAAATGCTGCTGCTTCTTAAAAAAAAATCATTTACTATTTAACTACACAGTATAGCTTCAGGATATTGGTAGGAAATATTGGCCTTCTGTGTGGGTACTCAGCATATTCATGTGTATGCCTCACAGACACCACTGCCATGGAGGCAGTTTAGTAGACTAAAAAGAGTATTTTTCTCCTAAAAATTTTTACAGTGGGGGAAACAGGCAGAAAATGTTCTATATGTTTTAAGTCTCCCAGGAAAAAATGTTAATGATGTACAAATCTCTTTTTAGACACCAGTGACTTTCTATTAAAGAAAATTTCCCCGATTGTAGGCACTATTGAAAAATCCTTCAAACTTTGTGTAGCCTTTACTGATAATTTGTATTTTCAAAAAAGCTAGAGGAGAAATAGCAATGCCAGATGCTTATACAAAAAAAATGGATCATAAAAAGCCCCCAATCCACTTCTCTGTTGTCAACTTAGTTTCCCACTTGTCACCTTCTCCAGCTCTGCCCACTAATTTCCTCTTTTTCACCGAAGGCTCAGTCCCTCCCCAGTTCCTGAAGCAAACCTGACTGAGAGAGGAAGCATTTTAGTAACCTTACTATTCCACCACTCTTCTATTCCCACTTTTTTTTTTTTTAAGAATTCAGTTACTTGAAACACCAGGATCTGATGACTCAGTTACTAATGCTGGGCCCAGGCATTGCTTCCATCCACTTTCCTTAACCCTACTCTGACAGTCCATCATAAAACTTTGCCAGTGCCTTCATCTGCCCATTCTCCATAAAACAACACTCACCAAAGACCGTACGGGCAGGGACAGACTCTCTGTTGAGCCAGAAAGACACTTGTGACAGAATGACAGTCATAATACATGGCAAGTAGGTCTGGATCACAAAATAGCCAATTTTTCGCTTGAGATGGAAGTGGGTTGTCATGACGACATATTCTCCTGGAGAGAGAGTAAAATTAGGCAATATATAGCTGAGTAAACATTGTTAAATCAAGGTGGACCCCAATTCAGTTCACCAAGTTCTTTAACCTTATACTCAAAACAACACATTCCAGCACCTTCCAAGTTCACATAACCAGATCTCTTTAATAATCATGAAGTAGTGCATTTTTATGCAAAAATATATGCCAACACTGTACCAACACAGCTTGCTCAGAGCAATTCTGACACAGATTCATTCAAATAAATCAGTGTCTTAAATAATAATAAATAACAGTCCTTCTACAGCATTTGCTATGTGACTGGTACTCTTCTAGCACTTTAACATTTAACATCTTAAAATACTTAATGTTTATAACAATGTTATAAAGTAGACACTATTGTTATCCTCATTTTATGGTGCAGTAAACTGAGGCAAAGAGAAATTGAGCAATTATATAAGGGTATCCAGCTACTAAGCAGTGGAGTCTGAATTCAAGACCATATGGGTTAGTTCCACAGTTTATGCTTTTTAACCACAATGCTCTGCTGTTTGAATGGACTTAGAGTTAGAACCAAAAGTTCATATAGCAGAATGTGGGCTGGCCTATATCACCCCACTCCAAAACAAGAGTGAACACTTATTGAACTCTTACTATATGCCAAACAACTTTGAGAGTTTTGTCTCTGCCCTTCCTCTCTCCCTCTCTCTCTCTAATTTTTTAATAAAAAAATTAAAAAAAAATCTTCTGCCTAGACTTCCTACTTGTTATAGGTTGAATTGTGTCTCCCAGAAAGATATGGTGAAGTCCTAACCCTGAGTACTTCAGAATGTAACCTTCTTTAGAAAAAAGGTTGTTGCAAGTATAATTAGTTAAGATGAGGTCATACTGGAGTAGGATGGTCCTTAATCCCCTATGACTGATGTTTGTATAAAAAGAAGACAAATACACACAGGGAGATATATGATCATGTGGAATATTTAATATATAAAATATATAATAAATATTCATAAGTTAGTTATATTTTATAGATCTGAAAGACAAAGCAAGTGGACTTTTCAAAAACTTATCAAATCAAGCATTTGTTTTAAATAACTGAATATTTTTTTCAGTCTTCTTTTCTAGCCTTCTCTCTTTCAATTTCTTTCTTCCTATCTCATTTCTAAAGAAGCAAAGAGCATGCCTAAGATGAGCAGATGGTGAAATAGGACATCCCTGGCTCTGGTATCCCATCACAAATATATGGATTAGCAACTATCTACAGACAATAATACTTTTGTGAAAATCCCAGAACAAGGGATTAAAACCAAAACACCTTCTTTGAGCACAAAATCCAAGAAAAGCCACATTAGAAAGGTAAGAGAAGTGGCTTCACTGCACCACCTACTTCCCTCCCTCAGGCCAGCCCAATGTGGCACCTAGAGGGTTCCTCTGGGTCTATGGTTTCTCTAGTGGGAAAAGGAAAGCCTAAGGCAGATACACAGTTTCCCCCAGCATTCCAGAGCATTCCTCCAGAGGCCTACTTCTGCCTTGCCTCATGGGGAATACTGGGAGAATCAATAGGGCTAGACCATTTGGGGTCAACTAGGAACAAAGAAGGGGGAGTGGTGAAACTTCCAGCCACCTGTGCTTGGATCTTGGCAGTGATACCAGGTCCCTGCTAGCAAACTCGCCTGATCAGAGTTTAGCCAGCAGTCTGTCCCTACCTGTACAGGAAACCCAACCTCTCAAAGCAGCCTGTAGCTCTGGCTAACAGATAAGTACAGGCAGAGGTACTGCCCAACAGCAGAGTTTGGACCAACAGCACAACTCCAGCAGAGACCTTACCCAGTGATGGTAGTCTAGACAAAAGGATCATACCCCTTGGTGTCCTGGTGCCCTCACCCACCAAAATGGTGACTTCCACAGATCTAAAACACCCTGGCTGTCTTGCCTGGGGGTCATGGTGACCTCCAACTACCAAAATGGAGAACTCCATGGGTCAAAACCTCTGGTTGCACTGCTGAGAGGGAGATGGGGGGTCGTGGCACTCCAACCACCAAAATGGTGACTTCCATGAGTTGAAACAGGCCCATTGTAATACCTGAGGAACCTTGCCCCCAAGCTGTAGAGCATGCTGGGGTTAACCTGTGTTTCAAAACAGTGTGGCACCCAACTGCTGTAAGTAGCTCGTCTCCCATACAACAGAGGCTCCCTGTGGCCCTGCTGAACAGTGGAGCATAGACCACTGAATCATGAATAGAAAATCTAAATGGATCAATACAGCGCAAGGAGATATAATCAGTAATTAACACCTCCCAATAAAGAAAAGCCTAGGATAAAATGGCTTCATGGGTAACCAAACATTTAAAGAAGAATAAATGGCAGTCCTCCTTAAACTCTTCCAAAAAACTGAAAAGGAGAAAATGCTTCCAAACTCATTTTAGAAGGCTAGCATTGCCCTGACACAAAATCAAATAAAGACTTAGAATTAAAGAAAATTACAATTGACTCTTAAACAATGCTGGGGTTAGTGACACCAAAACCCCACACAATGGAAAATCTGCCTATAACTTCTGACTCCCCCAAAATTTAACTACTAATAACCTACTGTTGACCAGAAGCCTTACCAATAACAGTAGATTAACACATATTTTGTACGTTATAAGTATCATATACTGTATTCTTACAATAAAGTTAGGAAAATAAAATGTTGTTAAGAAAATCATAAGGAGGAGAAAATACATTTATAGTACTGTATTTATTGATAGTGTAAGTTTACCTCATCTATTTATAAGACAAACCATCTGTTAGAGCCTACATCAATATTGTCTTACATAATGCAAAACACTATAAATGCTATACATGTTACTGACACTACACATCAAAAATGAAAATATGTGAAAAAGGAATATTTATTTACAAGTATAACAATTCATACATTGATATCAAAGAAGCAGCAATATGATTGCTTTATGGTAGCCTAGTATAATCAATATAATTGCTTCATGGTGGCTTAACCCATATACTCATGAATGAATTGTCATAAAATTTTTATGGCATACAGTATTACAGTCATATTCATAATATGGTATTGGAAACATTGTTACTTAAAAAAAAACACTTGCCTGTGATGATAGGCTGATATGCATTGTCTCCAATTAGAAGAGAGAATTACTATATGGTAATGTAATTCTTTGAAAGCAAAGTTATAAAACAGAAAACTAACACATTATTAATTTTATATTAAATACCACTCACTTTATGCCTATGTAAGGATCAGCTATCCACTTCCATACAAGTCTTACACATGATGTTCTTCATAATGAATATTTATGTGATGATGATGACACAAAAATGTCTCATACAATTCTTGCTGTACAGTTATTAGAAAAAAAACAAAAGATATTCACATGAGGACAAAAAAACACAACAGATAATAAGTTTATTAACTGTATGCCATGATGATTATTTACTATTCATTAAGTGGAATTGTTGAAACATTGTAAAGGTCTTCATCCTCCTTGTCTTCTGGTTTAGTAGGTGGAGGAGGAGAAGGAGGAATTAGTCTTGCTGTCTCAGGGGTGGCAGAGATGGAAGTAGTGGAGGAGATGGAAGGGGAGGTAGGAGAGGCAGGCACACTCAACGTAACTTTACAGAAATACATTGTAATGTCTGTCTGATTTGTTTTTCTCATTTTTCCAAAAATGTTTCTATATGATACCAACCCTTCTTCCACCACTTGTTTTAATTTCAGTGCCCATATCATAGAAGGGTCCATGTCATAAAAAATGTCAAAAGCAGTCTTGAATAATTGGAATCCTTTTTATATGTTGTCTAATGTCAATTTGTTTTCTGGCACTACTTCTACATCTTCTTCCTCACTTTCTGGCACTGCTTCAGAAGCACTCGTATCTCCATCAAGTTGTCTTCTGTTAATTCCTCAGATGTGATGTCTATTAGCTCTTGAATTTCTCCAAGATCAATATCTTGAAATCTTTCAATTCCCACTTTTTTTTTTGCCATATCACAATCTCTTTCATTATTTCTTTAGTTCTATCATAAATCATGTGATGTCATGCACAACATCTGGACATAGTTTTCTCCAGCAGGAATTCATTGTTTCAGACTTGATGGCTTTCATGGCATCTTCAGTGTTATAATCCTTCCAGATTTTCATGTTGTTCTCTATATTGGGGTTCTCCTGCATAGGGTTGATGATCTTTTACATAGAGTGCCATGTATAATGAGACTTAAAGGTCCTTGTGCCCTCCTAATGCAGAAGCTGAATTAGAGGTGTTGTGTTTGGGGACAAGTAGACCACTTCAATACTTTTGGTGTTGAACTTATGGGTTTCTAGGTGGCCAGGTGCATTGCCCAATATCAAAAGAACTTTAAAAGGCAGTCCCTTTCTGACAAGGTACTTCCTGACTTCAGGGACAAAGCACTGATGGAACCAATCCAGAAAAAGTGTTTGCATTGTCCAGGTCTTCTTGTTGTACAACAAAAATACTGGCAGCTGGTGTTTATCTTTTCCCTTCAAGGTTGGAGGGTTAGTAGCTTTATAGATAAGAGCAGTCCTGATCATTAACCTGACTACATTTACACAAAACAGTAGAGTTAGTGTGTCCTTCCCTTCCTTAAGTCCCGGTGTTCTCTTCTCTTCCTTACTAATAAATGTCTTTTGTGGCATTTTTTTCCCAGCATAGGGCACTTTCATCTGCATTAGAAACCTGCTTGGACAAATATCTTTTTTCCTTAGTGATTTTTTAATGGTGTCTGGGAACTCAGCTGCCTCTTGGTTGGCAAAAGCTGTTTCTCCTGTTATTTTGACATTTTTAAAGCCAAAACTCTTTTTAAAATTATCAAATCATCCTTTTCTGGCATTAGGTTCCCCAACTTTAGACCTTCCTTTTACTTTAAATTGTTATAGAATGACTTCACTTTTTCTTGAATCATATTAGAGTCTATAGATATGCCTTTCTTATAGCAATCCTGCACCTGCATAAAAGCTGCATTTTCAATGAGAAAAAGGTAATT